TGAAACACAAAATCATAAATTATAATTTAATAAATAATCATAAAAAAATAATATAATAAAAATACATTTAATTCACTAATATAATCAAACCAAAAACACTGAAATTTGAAATAGAGCACCAAGTTCGCACATTGCTGAGCAAAGTCGCAAAATAGTTTTCAGTGTCTGATGACAAATTTCCCCACAAATCATTATCACTCAATTCTGCAAGTGGTTCTGATTTACTATCACTGTTCTCTAACCCGCTTTTGACCTAAAGGGACGCTTTTTGGACGCCATGGACGTTTCTCAGTTTCCAGGCAGAAAGAACAGACAAAATGCAGGCAGGGCACAGGACAAAGCACTAGGGACAAAATGTATGTGAAATGGGTTAAAACAGCAATGTTTTGCTATGTAAAATTTGTTTGGAAAAAAATGACATTTTTTATAATGTTCAAATTTCCCGCCGCCGCCGGCGCCCGTACGTCCCGACGTCACAGGGACTGGAACACAGAAGCCGGATGCCGGCATCGGCCGGAGGAGATGGCCGGGGACGCTGCAGGGGACACATCGCGGGAGCGCAGGACAAGGTAAGCTCTGCAGGGAATCCCTATGCAGCGCCGCATGGTAAGCTTGAGTGTAGCTCGGGGTTACCGCTTTTGGTACTGACATTTTACCCCGAGCTACACTCGGGAATACCGCTAGGGAGGTTAAAGAGAGAGGTTTTCAGAGATCGTCTAAAGGTGGAAGCTCAGGAGAAGTCCTGGAGGTGAGCATGGAAGGAGGTGACATGGGAATTAGACAGCAAAAGGTCTTGGGAGGATAGAAGAGACTGGTTTGGTTGATATTTTGAGACCAGGTTGGTGATGTAATTTGTGGCAGAGTTATGCATGGCTTTGTAAGTTGTTGTTAATATTTTGAATTTTATTCGTTGGAAGCCAGTGGAGGGATTGGCAGAGAGGAGTAGCAAACACTGAATAGTTGGTAAGGTGGATGAGCCTGGCAGCAGCATTCATGATGGACTTAAGGGGGGATAGCCTATGTAAAGGTAAGCCAATGAGGCTTTACAATTTAACTTAATGCAAGAAAGTTAGGAGGGCCCTACTCCTGAGAGCTTGCAATCTAATAAGGAGGGGCATATAGAACAAAGGGAATAACTGTGAGGGATGAGCTGATGGGAGGAAAAGAAGATTCAGTTGTTAGCTGAAGGCAGGGTAGGATTCTCTGAAGAGATGAGTTATCAGAGACAGGGCCAGTGCTTCCACTAGGGGCGCTTGGGAGCAGCACAGGCTGGCACTCTCTCTATGTGGGATGCTGTCACACCACGAATGATCCTTCAGCTGAGGGGAGGGGAGGCAGAGCGGAGAAAGAAAGAACAGAGGAAGATGATGGGTGTCTGGGGCCAGTGTAGCAGCTGAGCTGCCTCTCCTTCCAGTGTTCCTCTCAGACTCAGTTCCCTACTGCCAGCTGGCTGGTGGCTGCTGATCACTATGGAGTTTCAGCCCTTCTCTTCCCATTCATCAGCAGAGGCGGAGCTGCACCTGCTCAGGAAGGTAATGTCTGACTCTGATGTCTCATGTCTGTGTGAGTGTGACCCGGCCACCCGGCTATCTATCACATGTGCAATGTGTCAGTGAGTGATGACATCATCACAATCCCTCAACCTGTTCTTCTAGCACTTGCTGGGCCTGCTGATCTGTGTCAGTGTTGGTGTGTGTTGTGTTGGATCTGTCACTGTGTGGGATCGCTCAGTTCAGGTGTTCTCTGTGTGTGTGTGTATGGGCTGGACTGCCTGCTGTCAGAGTGTTTTATCTCCCTCCATTGCCTGCAAAATTCCAGCCTGGGATCTGTCAGAGTGTGGATCCATCATCCTCCACTCACTGCAACTGTCACCCTGTCACTGCCAGCCATAGATACAGTCCATCAGTGACACTGATTTTGTCTTTAATATTGGTGCTGGTGGCATCTTATAGGGCACTTATTTTTGCAAATAAAAGAAATTTAGCAGTTTCATGTTTTGTTGATTTAAAATTCTCTACTGTTTTTAAACATTTTTATTTATTTATTTTATTGGGGGTGTGCAAAGAGCTGGTCTTGCCAAGGGTGCAAAAAAAATCTAGCACCGGCCCTGATCAGGGATCACTTAAAGGTGGACAGAGTAGGAGATAGCTGGACAGATTTGGATAGAGAGTTCCAGAGGATGGTAGAGGCTCTGGAAAATTCCTGGATGCAAGCATGGTATATGGAGACTAGGGAGCTAGAGAGCAGGAGGTCTAGGGAGGAGCGGAGAGGATGATTTGGGTGATATATTGAGACAAGATTGGTGATGTAGCTGGGGGGCAGAGTTGTAAATGGCTTTGTATGTTGTTAGTATTTTGAATATTATTTTTTTGGGCAGTGGGAAGGAACTATGGCACATAGGCCATAAAAATCTTACGCATTGTTCTGTACCAATAGCAGTTGACTAAGTAGCTGATGTTAGTGTAGAGGTCAAAGACAGTTTTATGACCAGGATCCTTGGGCAAGCTTGCTGGTGCTCCATAGTCGTCAGTGGCCTTCTCTCCAATACTGGCCTATCCATTGCTTAAATAGGGAGAAACCTTACGGGTTAGTGATAAACTGAGTTTGCGTTCCACCTCCTGAATGAAGGATGTCTCTTTTGTCATTTTAATACAATGGCAAAAGGTCTTGGAAAACATTAATACTGAAAAAAACTGAAATGTCTCCCGTGGTGATTGAATTCATTTGAGAACATTCAGGGATGTCTTTTTCCGGATGATCTTACAAAGGTTCTACATTTATTTTTTTCCAAACTGGTTATTCTCCTGTTGCTGGCGAGCGATTGTGAGGCATGATATAGCCCCTGGGAAGAAAGGATTCTCCAAGCTAACCATCCATCTGACAGTATGAATGATTACCGGCCGGCATTAAATGTAATGGTATTGCAATGAGGGGAATGACATCTGCATAGTGTGGCCTGCCTGTCACCTATTCATCACTGGTGACTGCAGAGTGATACATTGCCACTTCTCAGCCTTTGCTTCTTCAGCATAAAGACTTTCTCTCTAACCCACCAACAACCTTTTCCTTGAATATTTCAAGTGTTCGGAAATGCAATTGTCTATGTGTAATATATGTAATGCTCTTAAAATGGATTGCATTTATCAGTTAAAGTGACACTCTGGTCAAAGAAGAAAACCTCTTGTCAACCAACCTCTGCCTGTACTTTTTATCCCTTTGTAGTTAAAGTGGGACTTCACTCAATCAGCAATGACTATTTTAATCCTTTTGCTGCTAGCATTAATAAATAGACAGGAGCGTATTTGATTTTTTTTACAATTCTTCAGCTATTTCCTGGTTTCTGGCATTGGCAAATGATGTCATACATCCCAGAAGTCTTCAGGAGGGAAGGGGGGGGGGGTTCTCAGCTAAGCATACCCTCCTGATTGCATCCCTGAGCAAAGGGCAGATGGATTCAAGGAAGTAAATGCTACATGAATCATCTGCCCTTACTCAAGATGGCCACAACCAGAAATGCTTGGGGGATGTTTTTCTAAGTGATTTCTCAGCGAAACAAAGCGGGGAGACATGGATGGAGGGGTGAGTTTGCTTTGAATATTATAAATGAATTAAACAGCATTTTTGTTTTGTGATGTTTGGATGCAGTGTAGTTCTCCTTTAAGCTGGGTATACAGTAGTATAATTTAAAGTTACATTTTTTAGAAATATTTTTATGAAAATTTGGACAAAAATTCTCAGAACATTTGAATGGTGTTTGAAATGTGGTTCAAGATTTCATTCGCTTTTTACATTTGATTTTGGAGTGAATGGACTTTACCAAACAATAACCAAATACACCATAAAATTGTGTAAGTTTCCATTTTGCTCCTCCAAATTTCCTTGTTACTGCAGTTGAAAATAAATGTCAATTCGACCCCAGTAATGTGAAGAAAAACGAATGAACATTCATACAACATTTTTACAATGAAAAATGATAAACGCAATTCTAATAATTCATTCCCATCTTTACACCTTGCCTCTTTCAATGACCCCTGTGCAGGGGCGGACTGACCATTTGGAAACTCAGGCACTGCCCGAGGGCCCAAGGTCAGTAGGGGGCCCCATGAGATGCCCCTGGTGCCTTTTTCATAGGCTTTTTTGAGTTTGGACAAGGACACAGGGGCCCCATGATCCCCTATTGCCCGGGGACCCCATGAGTTGTCAGTCCACCCCTGCCCCTGTGCAATATGACTGCATTAAGCTGGTTCAGTTTTTTTCTTTCAGCCATTTGAGACAGATGGAGGAATCCTCCTTATTGTACTAATGTATTCTGACAGCGGGGATATGCCAGAATATACTGATCAGTAGGATGCAGTGCTGATCGAACTAAAGTTTTCCAGCAAGCCCACTTGTGAGCAGTTGTTTAGCAGATCGACTGCTCTTGAACAGAATCGGCCATAGGCGCATCAAAATTTGGGTGTACCCTGCTTGATCCATCTATGGCCAACTTTACACTGAAGTCTGTGATTACCATTGTCTGGAGCTTTCACGGGCATTTGTAGGCCTGGGTACCTGGTCTAGTTCCATTCTGAATTGCCCTGGGTACTGGGTCTGCAAAGCCCCATTGCCCATGTTTTGGTTGTATAACATGTATTACAGTGACTGGAAATCATTGATTACAAAGCGCGATTGGTGAAAAAACCATATCCCCCTGTATCATGTGACTTACTGTCTTGTTTAGTAACAACGTGAAATTAAAGCGGAGTTCTGCCCCCCCCCCCCCCCCCCCCCCCACCAAGAGAAATTAACCACTTGCCTACAGGGCACTAATACCACCTTCCTGCCCAGGCCAATTTCCAGCTTTCAGCGCTGTTGCACTTTGAATGACAATTGCGCAGTCATGCAACACTGTACCCATATGACATTTTTATAATTTTTTTGTGACAGATAGAGCTTTATTTTGGTGGTATTTAATCACCTCTGGGTTTTTTATTTTTTCTTAAACCAAAAACCACTGAAAATTTTGAAAAAAAAAGTTTTTTCTTAGTTTGTGTTATAAAATTTTGTAAATAAGTGATTTTTCTCCTTCACTGATCTGTGCTAATGAGGCTACAGTGATGGGCACTGATATGCTGCACTGATGGACACTGATAGGTGGCGCTGATGGGCACTGATGAGAAGGCACTGATAGGTGGCACTGATGGGCATTGACAGGCATCACTGATAGGCACTGAAAGGCAGCACTCATATATGGCACTGATAGGTGGCACTGATAGGCAGCACTGACTGGCATTGATAGGCAACACTGACTGGCACTGTTAGGTGGCAATGACTGGCACTGTTAGGCGGCACTGATAGGCAGCACTGACGGGCACTGATAGGCGGCGATGATGCACACTGATAGGAGGCACTGATGCACACTAATAGGCGCACTGACTGGCACTGATAGGTGGCACTGACTGGCACTGATAGGTGGCACTGACTGGCACTGATAGGTAACACTGATTGGCAGCACTGATAAGTGGCACTGACTGGCACTGATGGGTGACACTGAAAGGCAGCTCAGATGGGCACTGATATGTGGCATTGATGTGCACTGGTAGGCACTGAAATGTGGCATTGATGTGGCAATGATGGGCACTGGCAGGTGGCATGGATGGGCACTGACAGCTGGCATTGATGGGCACTGACAAGGGACACTGCTGGGGCTACACTAATCATCAGGGCACACTGATCATCAGTGCCCTGATGATCAGTGTATATGTCCCCTCCGAGGAATGCCGATTACCTGCTCTGCTCTGCTCTCCTCTCGAGCTGTCAGCGTGACAGCTCGTGAGGACAGAAATGCAGATAACCGGCATTTCCCTATTTACATGCGATCAGCTGTGATTGGACACAGCTGATCACATGACCGAGCCGACATCTTCATCTCTTTCCGTTGATCAGTGATCCGCTGTGTCTGAGGGATACAGCGCACGGCCGACCGCCTTGCTGTGCGCTCCCAGAGCCGCGCATGCGCGGCTAGAATGGGAGGACGTCAGATGACATCCTCCCAGAACGAGAGAACCGCCTTGCGTCCATCATTGTACTATATGGTGGGCGGGAGGCAGTTAAACATCAGCAGCTACAAATACTGAGGGCTGCATGGGGGGGCCCGAACTTCCGGCTCAGTTTGACATGGCGCTGTCAAAGCCAGGTACCAGCTCCCCCCCCCCCCCCAGGACGGAAGGAATCTTATAGAAAAGTGGGGCTTCGACTTTTGGGTGGAACTCTGCTTTAAAGTCTAAAATTAAAAAAAAAACTGAGCTGGTAGGCTCTTTATTGCAGAAGTGAAATGCTATGTCTCTTTTGCAATGAATAAACGACTTGCTTCCCTGCCGTCTTCTGTAGAACGTACACTGAGTTGTGAATGTCCACCTCAGTTTAACCCCTTCACACCGATGTCACACAATTATACGGTCTCACAGAACTGGGCTTTTTTCCATGAGGCCTCATATTTGTGTACCTGTCTTTCTGCTGGGAGCGCACCGCACAGCATGCTCCCAGCACAAAGACTGAGGAGTCACTGAGAGCCTCGGGTCCCGTTCTAACGATCGGACCTGGGCCTTCCGATTCCGGGTCACGTTCTAACGATCGGGACCCGGGACTTCCGATTCCGGGTCACATGATCGCTGTGATAGTCTATGATTGGCTATCACAGTGATCAGTCACTGTACAAACCGCTCCCCTTGTTTTTTTTTCCTCTATGAATGGATACATTGTATTTCTATCTCTCATTGCATAGAGGAAACAGAAATTGTTTGTTAAATAAATAAATATTAAAAAATGAAATACAAATAAAGAAAAAATACTTAGATCAAGGTTTGATCTAGTTCTGTGCTAGGGTTAAGGTCAGGATTTTTTTTTTAAATTGGTATCAGTGTCAGTGTCAGGGTGTTTTATGTTAAAAAAACAATAAACAAAATGTGCACTATTGTTTCTGGGCCGTACTACAGGTACAAACAACAAATAACATACACATATATAGTATTTCTGCGATCGTCAAAAGCTGGAAAATTTATTTTGGGTTCTTCATTGGTGGTAGGTTATGGTAGTAACAAGAAACACACAGCTAAATTTAAATTTTTTTTTTTTTTTTACTATTTTGGGACAGTTTTTATTTGATAAGAAAAACAATAAGAAGATATCCATTAATATTTACCACCAAATGAAAGCCCAATTTGTCCTGAAAAAAAAAAACCAAGGTATAATCCACGTGGATGTACAAAGTAGCTGTGATGATATGTATGGGTTTACTAACACATGTCAACGTTGCAATATTGTGCTTAGGCGTTAAGATTTGTTTTACCCTTAGGCATCTGCATACCTGTGTGCCAGGAACACTGAACTCCTGTGCATGTGCAGGAGTGACATCATCTCGCACCAGCCAATCAAGATGGCCAAAGACTGGCACCTTGAAAAAGCTGGGGAGAAGATGCCATTGCCTGCAGGGGACCTTACAGATGTCGGACCGTTAAAATACAGACTTGATTTCTGCCTTAACTTGGAGTTATATGCTATCTAAATTTATTATTTTACTTTTATTATAGGTACGTATATAGCGCCATCAATTTATGCAGTATACATATATATTGTGCATTCACATTAGTCCCTAACCCTGAAGGGGCGTACAATCTAAGATGGATTTAGTTTGCTAAAGAACTTTGTAAAAACAAAATATTCCCCCCATAAAATACCTGTGTTTACCTTTTTGTTGCATCTCAGTGATGTTGGTCTCCTGCAGTTTCTTTGTAGCATGTATTCCCGAGGATAGCTGCATGGCTTTTCTCAGGGTAGGTTTGCCCGATAATAACATTGAAACAGCTACTTGTAATTTCAATTCGAAGCCCATGTGATGATGGAGGAGTTTACCTGGGAGACAGAGCGTTGTCAGCCTATAACAGGAAGTGGAAGAACAAAAACCTTTATGGCAGGATCACCAGGTTTAATTTTAGTGACAGCTGCTGATTTCAATATATTAAAGAATAATTTTAAAAACTACATAAGCATGTTAAAGCTTATATGAGCAATACTGGTTTTAGATCTATTTTAATCCTGTGCACCCAATATTCTCCTAGATTGTAAACTCGAAAGAGCAGGGCCCTCGAAACTCCTCGTGTATTGTATTGTTACTGTATTGTCTCATGTACTGTCCCCCCACGTTATTGTACAGCGCTGAGCAAACCTATTGGCGCTATATAAACACTATTTAATAATAATAATAATAATAATAATAATAATAATATTCCTATGGTGGTAACCTAGAATTTCAAAGGGAAACTATAATGAGCTCAGATCTAAGGCTAGGTTCACATTTGTGTGATGCAGAAACATATGATATTATCCTCTGCTAGGGGACCTTTGATATTTATGTTTTTAATCATTTTGGATTTGTACTATCATGGATGCTGCCTAGGTTACGGCTGTCGGCTTTTTAATTCCCCCTTTTTTTATATACATATATTTTTATATGTTTTTTTCCCTCCGTGTATTGGGTCCTTATATATTGTTACAGATTATCCTTTTTTTGCACCTTTTTGGGTCGCATGGGGGTTTTTTTTATATATGGGGGTCGTTTTGGTCTCCTTTTATATGGCCATCAGATTTCAGTCCAGTAGTTTTTTAGGTTTACACTTTTTGTTTTCCTTTTTTAGGTTGCCCTCTTTGTTTTTGGGAGTTGTCTGGATATCATTTTCTTAGACTTTTTTAGGTCCAAGGGGCCATTTTTAATGTTTTTATTTATTAAAGTTTCATTTTTTCTTCCTGGGTGCATTGATTTCCTTTTCCCTGTTCTAAGTAGCTGTTATGCATGATAAAGTGGCCGCTAGGGCCCACCCTTGCAATGATTGACGTCCAGACTCCCTTTATAAGGAGTTCTCTGTCACTACCTCCTTTGCCCTGAGGAAGTCACATGACCTGTGATGGAACACGTAGGACGGAAGCGTGGTGATGTCATTTCCGGCGTGGAATGGAAGCTGCCATCTTGCTACACCCATGCAAGTACACCCTGTATGTTCTATGCTGATTTTAAAGTGTGTGAGTCTGCAGACCCTGTGATTTTTCTGTAAGTGGGTATTTGGCGTGTGTTGCCTTAATAAATAGCTTGATTTACTACACTATGGGAGTCCTTTTTTCTTACCTCTTTATGGGGATTGCTTGAGAGGCTAGGTGAGTGGGCATGCTAGCCGATGTTGGATACGTTTGATAAGGGGATCACCGTACCTATCATCAACCATTGTTTGCACGGTGTCATACTGTTGTACACGGAGTAATTTTGGACTGTTTTCTGTTTAGTTCACATTTTTTTATGGCACATTTGTCTTTTTTGTCTTTATTATGATATATGTCATTTTTTTCACATGCATTTGATACACTCACTTGTTATCTATTATATTGTGGATTACATCCTCTATGTGGTATTATATCCATGATCACGTGTTTGTTTCCACTTTTTAATGTCTATGTTTATTTATCATCTGTTTGCTCACTTAGAGCATTTTGATCACCATTGTTGGTCTTGGTCACCATTTTTTCTTATACAGGAGGTACGTAGCACCCCTGTCCACTTCATTGTTCCCCACCTCGTAATAGGGGAGTTCTCATTTTTTGCACATTGAATATCATTGTTTATGTATTTTCTGATCACGCATTTGTTGTCACTTCTCCTTCACATTTGTTTCATTTGCTTTACTGTTTTTTTCCCCATTATCTTTGTTTTTTTAGCAGTTGTATATAGTGTTTATATACATATAGAGAATTAGCGCAGCACCACCACTTTTGTTCTTCATTTCTCCACTATTTGGTATTATAGTCAGGTGTTAGCAGCTATTCCAGTTTTTTGTTTTCTGGGTTTAGATTTATTTATTTCTTTGGTTTGGGGTATAGTGGCAGTGCAGGAGGTCTATTTTGTTTAATGCAAAAAACAAGCATCCCTTTTTTAATTCCTAATGCACCTTGCAAATCAACATACGAAACTTGCGAAATCACATCAATGTACAATGTGTATTAAATGTTTAAAAGAGTAAAGTGCAGCGCTATATACACACAAATAGTATGAAAATATATATGTGTATATGGTAATGGGAGTACCCCTGAAGACGTGCTGTCGCACGAAACGTGTTGGGTAGAGCCTGCATTGCTGACGTCACGCCGCCACTGCCGAGGAACAGAGCAGTGGCCATCTTGCATCTCTGGCTCTGGTGGTTGAGCTATCTTTCCCAGGACAAGGGATACTCGCCCCACCTGTACACGGATGATGCTGTA